TTAAAAGAAGTAACAGATCTGCCCTGGAGGAAGTGCACCCGAAATGCTCCTTGGAAGCGAGAATGGCCAGACTTCATTTCACCTATTTTGGTCATGTTGTCAGAAGGGACCATTCCTTGGAGAAGGATGTCATGCTTGGTAGGGTGGAGGGTCGACGAAAGAGGGGGAAGCCGTCAACGAGATGGATTGACACAGTGGCTGTGATGATGGGCTCTAGTATAGCAAGGATTGTGGAGCTGGGGCGGGATGTGGCAGTGTTTAGTTCTGCTGTGCATGGGGTCACTATGAGTCGGAAATGACTCCATGGCACCTAACAACAACAATTTGTGGTGTATTCTTGTCAGAGCAGCACTAGGTAACCAGCACAGAATTATTACCTGTGTAGACGTCTGTCAAGATCAAATTTTTCTTGCAAATAAAATGTATTAAACTTGTAAAGAGATGAACATTTCTGTGATATAATATTCCCTTTCAGATATATTATTTTTATATTTCTATGCATGCATATTTTTCCAAAAATATAATAAATCAACTTCCAATGTTTTTCAGTTCCTACTCAAATGTAAAGTTCACAAGGAAATGGTATCTCTCAAATATACCAACAAGCCATTTTGAAAATAAACAAAGCACAGCATCTCTTTTTGTCATCCCCTAATAATTCCTGTTCCCCTCCTGTACTGGTAATAACTGATAATGCGACAGTTGGTCATCCTCAGACAATAAATTTCAAGCATTACAGTTCCGGGTATAATGCAGAGAATTTTGCAGTGAAGCTAACTTCCCTCCTGGAGTAATCAGCTGACAGGTGGACACTGAGGGATACAAGCACAGTGTGGGTCCTCCATTCCAGTTTTGTAGTGTCCCTTAATTCACCACTTTAGTATACTGGGCTTTTGTTCTGTTGTTGCTGTTGTTATGCGCCATCGAGTTGGACCCGACTCATAGAGACCCCACCTTGGGGTCCCAGGCAGTATCACTACGGAAGTAGATTGCCCTATCTTCCTTCCGAGGAGGGGCTTTTGTTCTATAAAATGAAAAATGGGAGCAGAAAGAAAAAAATAAACATTCTGATAAGGAAATAATTCACAATGTTATTTTATAAAATACTATATTATAAAATCCTCTGAATACAATCAGGTCACAACTTTTCTTAGTTATAAAAGAAAAGAAATTAAAATATTAAAAAAACCCTGACAATTTTATGTAAGATTATTTATTCAAAATGAAGAACCAAAGTAATAATCTGAAAAAAAAATAAAAACTTTGAAAAAGTGTAAAATATTTGTATGAATCCTGTTGACGGTATCTAGAAGTATAATTAATTTTTATATATTGACTTTATCTCAATGTTGTTGTTGTTGTTGTTATGTGAGGTTCAGTCACCCCCGACTCATAGCAACCCCTCCTTGGGTTTCTGAGGCAGTATCACTATGGAAGTAGATTGCCCCATCTCAATATATTACCATAATTATTTATTATATCTTACACTTTATTTTGTATTCTGCAATCAGGAACAAAATAATTTAATATATTTTTTTTCCAAACCTACATGTCTTTTATTTCTTTTTCTTGCCTTTCTCTCCTGGCTAGATTAATTCATTGGGAAAATCTGCTGAAGATTAATTCTTTAAAATGAGAGAAAGTAAAGATGTTGCTTTAAGGACTCAAACAATGGCATTTGCTATAGCTTCATATGCATGTGAAAGCTAGAAAATAAATAAAGATGACTGAAGAAAAATTGATGTTTTTGAGTCATGTTGTCCACCCAGAATATTGAATACACTGAGGACTGCTAGAAAAAAGATCAAATCTGTCTCAGAAGAAGCACACCTGAAATGCTCCTTAGAAACAAGGATGCTAAGACTTTTTATCAAGTACTTTAGATGTGTTATCAGGACAAACCCATGCCTTAAGAAAGACATTATGCTAGGTAAAGCAGAGGGCCAGTGTAAAGAAGAAACCGACATTGAGAAGGACTGGCACTTGCATGGCTGTAACATGCATGCTTTTTTTTTTTTTTTTTAATTGTGATTTGGGTGAAAATTTACAAAGCAAATTCATTTTCCATACAGCCGTTCACATACACTTTGTTTCATTACATTGACTACAATTTCCCACAATGCAATAGCTCCCCCTCACTTCCTCCCCATAGTTACCTCTTTCCTGTGTCCTTCCCTCCCATGCACTCCTGCCCCGCCGAGCTGTCTTCCTGTGCATTCACAGCCCTTCTATTCTCCCATGATTGATCTCTTCATGGAGTGTATCTACTTAACGTAATTGTTCAGAGCTCATATGCCTGTTTTTTGTTTGGTTAGAACCCACAGGAGTGGGTTCAATTCCAGACCTGAAGGGGCCATAGTCTCAGTGTCTCAGTGGTTCCATCCGGCTCTATCAGACCAGCAAAACTGGTCCTTTTTCTTTATGATTTTGAGTTTTGTTCCCATTCTCTTCAGGATCTACTACATAGAGTTCCCTCCGAGTGGTTGACAGAGGTAACCAGGCACCATCTAGTTCTGTTCTCATAGTCATAGAAGCTGAGGATCACATGATGTACCAGTTCTTTGGACTAATTGTGTCCATGTGTCTTAGGTTTTCTTCATTCTTCTTTTCTACAGATGAAAAGACATTTATCATTGCATCTATATGGCTGCTTGCAAACTTTCAAGATCCCACTTGCTACCAAAAGTAGGATGTAAAATAATATTTTTGTGTATTATGTTATGCTAGTTGGGCTTGATGTCCCCTGTGACCATGGTCCTGAGCCCATGGCTCTCTGGGTCGCTGGCTGTGGCCAAGAAGTGACTACAGCCTTGTCCCTTATCAGCTCTACTATATACCTGGGAATTCTTATAGAATATACAAATACACTTGTGAAACATTGTCTGCCAATCCTATACATGGTCATGGGCACACTTCCCCTTCCATAGACATACCTAATAAGTCAACCTGTATGCCCATCTATCCACCCATATATCCATGTTTGCCATCACTGACAACACAGTACTATATGTAACATGTGTGCTTTTTGAATAAAGGTGGTATGTGATGGTATTGATCTAGCTGCTACATTGAAATTAGTTTCAAGGGTTGTAGGAGAACAAAGGGGACAGAACAAGAAGATATAGCCAGAATTAAGACTGAGATAATGGTTCCTAGAAAAAGGCAGTAGCAGAGGAGGTGTTGAGTGGTATTTAATCTCTGAATATAGACTATTGGTAGAATCAACACAACATGCTGATGATTGAATGTAGGTGTATGTAATAAGAAGAATACTTTCTAAGTTTCACCAAGTAGAAGGAGGGCTTCGTACTACCTAAAATTACATTTTGATTGTTACTATTACCCATCTGTGAGTTGGAGAACTTGGAGTCACAAACAGCGACTTTGAAGATTTGATATTTGAGTCTTCCCAGAGACACTGAAGAAAACAGTACATATCTAATCCCCCAAAAATTGACAATCGATAGCAATAGGAAACTGAGTTCTAGTCTGATACATTTGGGATCACCATGAATCAGATTTAACTTGATGACAACCTGTTTAATTTTATTTGAATCAGAGACTTAACTAGTGAAGGGAAACTGTGTCCTTTAGTAAGATTACCTACTCACCAAATACTTGCAAGAAAAATATACTTGGAAAATATTCACATTGTGTAATATTCTATTTCAGTTTTATTTTGTTTATTATTATTTAATTAGTTTCATTTTTATAGCACATAGATTTCTAGAATAACTCCATGAACTAGAAAAAAAAAAATGTTTTAAACCTACATCAAACACGTATTACAGAAAACATGGAAAGAATTTCTCTAATAAGGTATTGAAGGGGAAACTAAAGATAGTCTAACTCATATGGCCCATAGTTTATATTATTCGCATTTAATAACATTATGTATACTTTTATACTGTATTCTAAAGATTATACCATAGTCTTAATCTAGTTAAATGTTAAGTGTTGCTTAAGATTAGTGTGGGCAAAAAAATCATAGAATTTTTTGGCTATCTTTGCCAACACAGACAAACATGATGCATAAAAAAAAAAAAAAATCATAAATTAAATCAAGTTTTTACAGAATCCCAGAAAATTGAAAATAATACATAAATACATAAAAAAAACATATAATACATTTACAAATTAGAGGTGAGCCAAACAATCTGATTTTTCTATTGCATAAAAAATAAACTTTTAACTTATGTTTAAGTTACATATAATTGATGAGAATTTTTTTTAAATAATAAAATTGCTTGATTCAAGAATATAAATATTTCTTTAAATACATATGCTAGATAAGACAGGCTTCAAAGAAAAAAAAAGTTATAATAAAATATTTGTATACACTATTGATATATAAGGCACATTTATAAAATAAAGATAGTATAGGAAAATAGTATTGATTTAAAATATTTGAATAATGGTGGTTAGTTTTTGAGATTTTATTAAATGTCATGCAGTTAAAGGAATTGTAGATCTTGAAACCCTGTGATGCCTAATTCTAAAACAAGTGCTCAAAACCACTGCCCTATATACTTCTTCTAGGTTCCATTCATTGAATAACTTCTGAGATTGTTATCATTGTGCCAAAAATATAGCCATTATACATAAATAAAGTCTTTGAAATGGTATGTATATCAATGTTGGTATGATATAGTTTTAAACATAATGTTACATTCTCTTGTTTTGACTTTTTTTTTTAGTAAAGACATATATGTAAACCTACTAATGTACTCATATTTCATGGCTTCAAATTACAAGCTGGATTTCTAGAAAAATGTATAGCTGGAAATGTCCAAGATCATATATCACCAATTAAAGAATGACTCAACAGAAGTAGAGATTAATTAAAATGTTTAATTACTTTTAAATAGAAAGACCAAAGAAAGGCCTATAAGAAAGAAAATATGAGATTCACAACTGATGTCACGGTCACGTTAATGCTTGGTGCTCTCTCTTTTCTGCATAACTCTAATGAGAGCATTTCTCACATCTTTGTTCCTAAGACTGTAAATGAAAGGATTCAGCATGGGGATCACAATAGTGTAAAATACAGAGACTACTTGGTCCTTTCCCAAAGAGTAGGACTTACTTGGCTTTAAGTAGGTGAAAATGATGGTACCATAGAAGATGGAGACTCCCAGGAGGTGGGAGGCACAGGTAGAGAAAGCCTTCCTCCTTCCAGATGCAGAATTGATTTTCAGGATGGTAGAGAGAATGAACGCATAGGACAGAGAGATTGTGATAAGAGACACCATCAGGGTGGAGCCACAAAGAATGAATATCATGATCTCAGTGTCATGTGTGTCAGTGCAGGACAGGACTAAAATTGGGGTTGTGTCACAGAAAAAGTGATGGATGACATTGGAGTCACAGAAATGCAAGGTGTTTATGGAAAGCACATTGACAATTGAATCAATAAAGCCAATCAGATAGGATACAGTGATGAGGGAGCAGCAGAGTGTCATGGACATAGTAACTGGGTACTGTAGAGGGTTGCAAATAGCTACATAGCGATCACAGGCCATTGATGAGAGAAGAAAACATTCAGTGCCAGCTAAGAAGACCAAAAAATACATCTGGGTAAAACACTCTCCAAATGAAATAGACTTCTTTAAAGTCAGTAAGTTCTCTAATGTTTTAGGGGTAATGGCTGTTGAATAACTGAGATCAAGGAAGGACAGATGACTGAGGAAAAAGTACATGGGGGTGTGAAGCTGGAGATCCAGGCGGATTAGCAGTATCATCCCTGCATTCCCCAGCACAGTCACCAGGTAAATCAGGAGAAACAGACTGAAGAGGACCAGCCGCATCACTTCAGAGTCTGTCAGTCCCAAGAGGATGAAGTCAGACACATTTGTGTTATTATTTCTACCCATAGTGTGCACCTTCTCTAAACTGTAGGCGATTAAAGTTGATACTCAGCATCAGTGACTTCAAACAGGTTTTTGTCTATATAAATGGCATAGGATTAAAATAAAGAGCTTAGGGTTTCCAAAAATTGATAAAAAAGAGTGGTTTACAACATATGACTAAACAGAAACTTAATTATCTTCCCATATAAATTAAGTTATCAATTGGCACAGGATTATTATATAATAAAAATGTAACACATATTATATAATTAAAATGGAACATACTGTGTTCTCAGAACTTTCTTTGTTTAATAAATTAAATTTCCATGAAATATTATATTATAGGTGTTACTTTTTCCCAAATTTTCTTAAGATAAGAAAATGGAACAGAAGATATTTATGCAATATCCGAGCTGGTAAATTTTAGCTCTGTGGTTCTATCATGTTAGGTTTATTAAGATGTGTGTACTCATGATGAAACCTGAGTAAAGTGTTCCCCAAGAATGTGGAACAGTATCTATTCTAAGGGGGAGTTTGAAACCCAGTAAAATAAAAACTATTTCCCCCACCCTGGGGCCCAGATGGGAATAGATAAGTAAATTAAATTACTCCAACTATTTCCCCCACCCTGGTTAAAACTGATAATTAGATAAGACCTCAAGGGTAATAGATAAGTAAACTAAATTACCCCCAACCATTTTCCCACTCAGACTGGTGAGTATTCAGTTCCTTAAAAACCTGAATGGAAAACATTCTTTCCTGCAGATGGTAGACTTGCTAAAAGTAATTTAGGAGCCCTGGTAGCATAGTGCCTAAGGCATTTAACTGCTAACCAGAAGGCTGGTGGTTCAAACCCACCAGCCACTCCTGGGAAGGAAGGTTGGGCAATTTATATCCTCAGTGATACTGCCTAGCAACCCAAGGAGGGGTTGCTATGAGTCAGGTCTGACTTGATGGCACATAACAGCAACAAATGTATTTTAGAAACAACTCGTAAATTAACTCTGGCCCAGGGACATAAGCACTAGGGCAGAAAGGTAGTATTTTAGAAACAACTTGTAAATTAACTCTGGCCCACCAACATAAGGGAGCAAAAGTTAATTGCAGACCCTCTTCCCTCTGCCCAAGCCCCTATCAGCTGATAACAGGAAACTAGTGACACATCTGCAATGCTCACCCATTTCACGTTCACACCCCAAATTCCTCAACTTTTTGTGAATATGCACAATCCCCTCCCTGAAACCTGCAAAAACTCTGTTTGATGGCATTTGGGGGAGTTAGATCTGGGTACTAAATTACCCTTTACTCCTTGCATTGTGGCTTCACAATAAATAGTTTTCTCTCCTCTCAATCTTTGTGTGTAACTGTTTTGGCCTGACTGTGGTGTGTAACTGTTTTGACCTGTCTGTGACCAGGGCAGGGACATGGTCTGATAACAATGATACGTTACTCTTAATTACAATTAATCTCTGTAGCCTGAGAAAAATTCTAAATGTTTAGTCAGTAATGAGATAAACATAGTTTTAATGTATCATTTACTGTCCTTTAATTTCCAGTGTTATTTAATATACGGCAAATCACAAATTTCAACCTTTGGAGTCTTTACTGTGATGAACTGAAATCGTAGATCACAGAATATTCATTTTCAGAAGACAAGCTATTTTCCTAACTTGACCATTCAAGTCACATTTCTTGTGAAAATTACATGACCAAAATACGAACATTGCTTGTATAGTACCCATTCCATCAATTCTATATTTTTTTCCCACAAATCCTAGATTACACAGGGCCAAACTTCAATTTATGTATATATGTATAAATTTATATACTATAAACATATATGATAAATATATATACATTTATATGCATACTTATATATATGTATATGTATATATTCTTCTTATAATGTTTTTATTTTATTTGGTCTGACCTAAACCAAACCAAAACACAATCATTGAGTTGATTCTAGCGCAAAGCACACTAAAGGACACAGTAGAACTGTTCCATTGGGTTTCTAAAGCTGTAAATCTCAAAGGAAGTGAAGGACCAAACCACATCTTTCTTCATCAGAGCAGCTGGTAGCTTCAAACAGCAGACCATTTGGTTAGGAGCCTAACACTTAACCCACTGTGCCACCAGAGCTCCTTGAGTTGAGTTAAGTCTCTCTAGTTTTGTGAATAATACTTACCACAGGCAAAATATGGTGAAAAGAGAAATCTTCCAACATTATTTGTCTAGAATTTCATCTAGCTGTAATTTTTCTTCCAAACAAAATGTATAAAACATTGAAGTAGAAGAAAATTCCTGTGATATAATATTATTGATGGATTATTTTTACATTTTTGTGTAAGCATTTTTTTTAATCCTGTGATAAAATAAATAAACCTCCAAATCTGGTCAGTTACTAGTCAAATATAAAGTGCAGGAGCAAAGTCTTTTCCTGAAAGCTGTTGTAAACTAAATATAGCAGGGCATCCCTTGTGTTCTGTCATAATAACCATAATAACTCCATAATAACTCTGTGGCACCTCAAATGCTGGAGCTGATAGTGCAACATTTTGTGATCCTCAGGCCTTAATTTCCAAGGGAGATTGACTGGCACATTTCCCAGCATAAGAGCTAAGGGCTAATGGCTTCATGTGGCACTTTTAGCAGGTGGTTGCCTATTCCCTTAGAAGCAACATCATAAGGAACATAATGGTTTGATCTTCCTTTGTGATACTCTACATTGTTTACTAAGATGTTAGTGACACTGGTTCTAGAGAAAAAATTATTTGCAACTTCAATGCCAAGCAATTAACTATGTCTGATCTAAGAGTATTTTTTTTACGTTGAAATACTTCTACATTTTGAAGTATGATACTGTGGAATTAAAAATTTAAATACAAAATTAGTGGTGCAAATTAAAGCAAAATTAAAATGTAATATTTTACTATAGCAATAAGAAGCCATTATTAAGGCCAGCAAAAGGGCCCCAGTTCCAGGAACTGGGAAACATATAGTTTTAGTAAACAATTCCCAGAACTGTAGATAACTAAGCCCTGAACTTAGTTCTTAGAATTAAAAAAGAAGAACTGAACGTAAACAATTCTCAGAAATGACATCAGCCATCCACACTCCCTCCAAAGAGTTAATGTTTAAACCAACCAATTACTTGTACCCTGCATTTCCCTCCAAAAAGACTATGTTTAAAATAGCAAATCATTTGTGTTTTACTCGCGCCAAAGTTTGAAATTAACCTATCACCTGAATTCCCTCTGTCCACTCCCCTCCCCCGACCAATCATTTGTACTCCCTCCACCCACACCTCCCCTCCGCCTTTTTCTAATGTACCTTTAAATAGTGTGTGTTTTAGAAGCTCG